TACCAATAAATCTTTACAGAAAACAAGATGTCAGAAAATCAATATAAGCACTCCTATGAACTGGGTGCCAAACTTTGATCAAGATCTGAAGCTAATAGAAAATCTGTTTAGTTCAAAGTTATCAAATCAAAAACAATACATAAAAAATACATAAAAGGAAACATTTCATCCACATTTTAAAAAGAAAATTGTTCTAAAATATATGTATTCTGTATTTGACAAACAGTTCATTCGACAAATGAAAACTCACAGGAATATGTTTCAGCTATTAGAACAGAATGATAGAGTTTTTATAATACTAGTTTAAAAACTCACTTCAAAGAAAGATTGCAGTGTTTGAAGATGTAGGTTCTCAGGAGGCAACAGTACTGTTGACTTCTCCCTCCACTGGACACCAACTAACTATTTAAGTTGATTTGCATACAAAGCAGAGCTTGCAACATGATAGCTATTCATAAAGGGTGTTTTTTTTTTTACTTTTCATATAATACAGTAGTCACACAATGAGGCAGTTCATATTTGTCTCAGTGAATCATTCATTTTTGACAGACACCTGTACAAAATACTTGGACAAAGGCCAGCTAAGATTTTCTGTTATCTTGCATGTTTTATGAATCTATTCATGTCTAAATGCAGCACTTTTTTTGCAATGAGGCATTTGTTTTTATACTAAAATATCTGAATTACTTTGACTAAAACTGGAAATTATGTCCCTTAAAATAATTAAACAAATAAGGCACAAATGTTTTTATAAGATATTTACATCTTTAAAGGACATTCGGTAGACTGATTCCCCACTGTTAGTTCAACCCCAAAACTTTTTTGTATTCAAAATTAATTATGACAATGTATATTTATATTGAAACAAACTATGTTAAAGGGAATTATATTATATAACAAAGGGCAAGGTCACCAGAGTTCAACTATGTTTTATATTCTTAGTATGGTTTTGTATCTTGTCAGTCGCCTCTGGGGCCGACTAATATCGCCGAGCAATAACAAATTCGGGCGGCGACGAGAGCTATGAACCACATACGAATCACGATGGAATAATACACGAGGTACAGGAACGTGTGTTCAAGGTTAACCTTGATAACTCCTAGCGTATCCTGGGTGTCTTACCTCATGGAGTGCATTTAGAAAATAAGTATGTTTTTACAGCGTGTCACTGAGAAAATATTAAACCGGTGCTGATAGTGCGACATTGCACTGAGTACCATCACATCGCCTGAGCGTGGATGGTCTGTGTGAATGCAGATGAAATCGTAATGCGGTCAATCATGTCAGTCGGGAAATGGAATCAAACGCAAACCTCAAAAGTGGTCTGAGCGCAAACATATTATCATTGGAAAGTACTGACATGTTTTTACGGAGTTTCACTGAGAGAATATTAAACCCTGTTTTAAATGCCTGTTGTTCCGGTCGCTAAAAACTGTAGGGTGGCGTACACATGGCTAGACATTTCACTGAAAGTACCGTTCGCTTCGCCTGAGCGTGGATGGTCTGTGCATGGAGTTTTTAGTCCCTGTTCGGACGCAGTCCGAAAACTGGGACTTATGTTTTGACCTCCGTGTGTCTGTGTGTCCAGACCTGTATCTTAGAAATGCCTGGACCAATCACAATCAAACTTCACACATACATGATATTATACATATGCACATCAATTTGTTTCACGATATGATTCAAGATGGCCGAATGGCGGCCATTTTAGTGCTAAAAATCAAGCATTTCTCGGCAGTTTACAGATGGATTTTGTTCAAACTTTGTATATACATTAGACATTATAGGACCTTGATGCACATCATTTTGTTTCACGATCTGATTCAAGATGGCCAAATGGCGGCCATTTTAGTGCTAAAAAATCCTAAAAATCAAGCATTTCTCGGCTGTTTACAGATGGATTTTGTTCAAACTTGGTATATACATTAGACGTTATAGGACCTTGATGCAAATAATTTTGTTTTTCAGATAAAATTAAAACGGCCATTTTGTTTTAATGAATGTGGCTCTTGTGCCATATCTCTGACTTGTTTTCACTGATTATATTCAAATTTTAATTATTCATTATACATGATTCATAGATAGACAGATATATTGGTTTGACGATCTTATTCAAAATGCCCGAATGGTGATCATTTTTGTGCTAAAAAATCATCATATATCAAGCATTTCTGGCATTTATGGATGGATTTCATTCAAACTTGGTACATACATTAGACGGGTTCCTGATGCACATCATTTTATTTTTCAGATTGGATTCAAAATGGCTGAGTGACAGCCATTTTGCTTTAATGATTGGGGTTCTAAAGCCATATCTCTTAAATGCTTTGACTGATTATATTCAAATTTTATATATTCGTTATACATCATGTTATATATATACATGTATTCAAAATAGCTGATTTTGAATGCTGTTCCAGAGCAATATCTCTTAATATGGACAAGTACTTGTTTGACGATCAGATACAAATGTCAATCATTTTAATGTTAAAAAATCATATTCCTGACATGGTTATATTCCAGCTATATTACTATAAATAAAACCATATATCTTAAATTTGATAACTACCGGTAACAGGGACTGTGCCATGCATGGCTTGTTTTTTTTAGCTCCATGGTCTATGCAAAGCACACGAAATCGTAATGTGGTCAATCATGTTCTTAATCAAACAGTTTACTTATTGCCTCTGATGTTAATGAAATTGAGCAAGCACAGTTAGTCATATTAATATTGCCGTTTTGTACCCATAATTAAAGTTTAATAAAATTTGTTTGTGCCCCAAATTAATACTTTCACATTCTTCAAACCAACATGTCAGTATTTATTAAATTTTATATGCATGCTCATTTCCTGTCAAAATCTTGATTTTATTTTGATGGAAGCTTATAGTATCTTCAGATCAGGCTTGCCCTGATAAAATCCCTGTTCTATTACAGTGAACCAGTCTCGTTACAGTATTCCACTGACAATATACCAGCAGAGCTCAGTCCACCATCAGGACAATTTTTTTTTCAAATTCACAATGTGTCAAGTCCTGTAGTTATGTATACAGTAAAAAACCTGCCTGTCTATGCTTCTAATGATAACTATCTGTGCCATTTTATTCATTAATCATCAGTTCTTCATGTTTTATATACCTTCACAGTATTAAGATGGCAAGAAAAAAGAAGTGTTGTATTGCCAGAACAGCTGCTCTGGCCAAGGTAGCCATCTTGCCTTGTACTTTGTTAAAAAGTTGAGTTGAATCAGTTGTCATTTTTGACTCCAGTTGTGCTCTGCACAAAGGGGAGCTTATGTCAGCAATGTGCACAAAATGAGCGCTCGGTCTGTCTGTGTGGGAAACTTGTTCAAATGATATCTCTAGAAGCGATCATTATATTCAGATGAAACAAGTCTGATAATATGGAACATGCAAATTCTGATAAGGTTTTGGTAACCATGCATAATTAATGAGGGAAATTTGCATAACAAAATATTCCAGGTCCTCTACTATCCCGAGAACCTGAATGGCACATTGTCTAACATGTTCACCTCCATCAGTGACTTGAGGTTTCGACTCCCATAGCCGACTAATCACTCAAAGTTTCCTGGCCCATACTAACAAAACAACTGCTCTGATGTATCAATTACAAGACCCAAGTTCTACTTAATTCCAAAGGACTTCGGTGCCCCTGGGCCCCATGTTTTATTTTCCACACAAAATTAAAGCGGGGGAAGTCACCGTCTGCGCATGCGTCAAATGGCCATAGCGTCTCATTGTTTACAAACAAGTGTCTACCCATGAGCTATTGCGTTTTTAGCGTGTGTTGTTATCGTCGCATAGGACTCAATTCCCGCGCGTGCACAGGTGACGACCCTCTCGCTTTAACATAATAATTTACAGTAACAAAAGCATGCACACACAGAAAAACTGAAAAAGAAAACAAGAATGAGATGTGGGCTATTGTGGCATTTTCTATTTTGCCAGCTGTAATGTTTTGTTTGTGCTATTTCAATAATAAAACAACAAAATAATTTCACAATTACAAAATAACATTTGTAACCAGTTTGCTTCCTTGATATTTATAAAATAGTGCAGCGTTGACTGCTGGCGTTGAATGAGTGGCTACCCGTTAATGCGAATTCTAATTGGCTCCAATTTCTGATAATGATATAATATTTTGCCTCTATATAAATCCAGTTGATATTCCACCTGTTCATGGTCTTTAATGTATAAGGGTTGGTGTTATGATATCCTTCATAATCCAGAAAATGGTTAAATATAATTTGAACAAAATTTGTCACATACATACAGATGGACAGGAAAAAACAGTATCACATTACCTCCTGTTTGTGGACACGGTAACCAAGATTGTTTCCATCACTTTGACTTTTCGCAATATTTTGAGAAGCAAAAAAAAACCTAAGCTGCCTGACTGACTGACTGACTGACTGACTGACTGACTGACTGACTGACTGACTGACTGACCAGTAAAATAAAGGCAATTCTTTTTTACTTTTTTTTTTGGCAGCTGATCAGTTTCAGATAATACATTTTTTTTTATCTTGTGCATTGACCAGTGACCAGGTTCAGATCTTGTGTAGAATTTAGAAACTTAAATACAGCATGTTCTTTTGGGTAGTTGTGGAATGTGTGCAGATCCTCTATTGTCTTGTGTTTGCCGTAATAGTGATACGGGACTTCGTTACCATAGGAATCAAATCGGTCTGGATAAAACCCATACACAGTGACATTATCACAGAAAGAAAGTGCAGAAGTGACGGCTCGTAGTCCAGTTGTTGGAGGACCATATAGTGTAAATAATCTGGAAAATGAAAACTTAGAATTGTATTATTTCATTTTCTTATTAGTTAGCCTAAAAAGAAATACCAATACCATATACGTTATATGCAATCTGGCTTAGTATTGTAGAATTAAATTTATGCAAAAAATGCAGATCAACTTACCGTTTCACAGTCAAAGTCATTTTTTGAAAAGTTGAAATTGCAAATTGGAACTTCAGATTGTACTTGGATTTCAAATAATGAATATCTGCTATTGACGAGGAATTGGCTACGGGGTACCATACAATTGAATCGTTCAAAAATCGCAAACTGTCAAGCAAATCTAGGGGTATTTTCATGTTTGTAGAATATAAGTACTTGTGTAGATTTTGCATAGTTTTTAAAAATACAATGGTTAAGTTCGTCTTGTACCCAACGTCTCTAGTAAATTCTCTAACTTGCGGAATGTTGCATCGGATGACAAAGTCGTGGGAATTGATCTCTTCACCGCACTTGCTGTTTAATAGTATTCCGCTGTTACCAACAACTGCGCATGATCTCTGACGCAGGACTGGGTGCGTTAACTTAGACAGATAAGTCAAGGAGCCTGTGTCTTCAAACTGTATATTCGAGTTGTACACTCTGACAAGACTTTCCGCTGGCAAACTTCTGACTATGCATGGTTTCCTTTGAAAAAACAAACATGTATGTTAGCAAAAACATTCATGTATACTCGCGTGCTGAAACCCTCCATGGATAGCCAAAATGTATGGGAAAAACGGATAGTCGAAATGAGCGGTACGCAGATTTTTTTTGAGAAGGGGGGAAAAAGAAATACAGTTGACCGAGCTATATCAGTACATGTTATGCAATGACTCCAGCGCAAGTTTTACATGGTTTTATTTATAGCGAGGCATAGAGAGGGGGGGCAAGGGGTACAGGAAATAAAAAAAGGATTTTATGTTTTTACACAAAATAAAATGCAAGTTCCATTTACAGTACACTTAACAGATAAAGCAAATTCCTAATTTCATTTTACATTTTTATAATATATCTCTGACAATGACATGCATTGAATAATTATGTTCAAACTTATACATAACACATCATGTCGCAATCACTAAATCGTAACTATGGTAGTAAAATTAGGCTATTTTGGAACTTAATTTCAGGCTTTTGTGGATGGATTGTGTTTAAATATGGCACACGACTAAACTATTTACTAGTCGTGTTTGTAATGTAATGGGGAGACTGTGAAGATCCCTGTCTGTTATCTCATTCAAAACTACCATTTTTACCATATGTTTTGATATATCGATGCTACTGTGTAGTGATTATGCGATAGCATTCTGAAGAACAATTTACAATACATGAAAATCTAAACATGGCTGCCAGGGTGTAGCTACACAAAATAAACTAAATTTATGGTTTGAATATACTCAGAATAATTACATTTTATTATATATATATATTTTATATGACCCTCTCGGTCATCGCCTCTCGGTCATCGCACGCGCGGGAATTGAGTTCCACACGACGATAACACACGCTAAAAACGCAAAGGCACATGGGTAGATGCTTGTTTGTAAACAATGACATGATATGGCCACCTGACGCATGCGCAGGTGACAACCCTCTCGCTTTAATCAAAAATAAAAATAAATAAAACTAAAACTGTTTTCAGATGTTAAATCTTCCAGTTAAAAGCATTAATGGGATTAACTGTACTGGAGATTATAACCTACATTGTACACAGGAAGTTATTTTTTTCCCTTTTCTCAAAAAAGAGATGATGTCCCTATTTTCTATAGTCTACAGTTTTAGCGTACTGCAAAATAGAGTCGCTGTGCGTCCCTATTCATGCTTACGAATACAATTTTACTTTACAGTGGTATTTCACAATTAATAATTCAAATTCAAACCAAAAAAAAAATAAGATAGATAAAATTACCAACGAAATTCCAGCAAGACCAGTAGGAGCCACGGTTCCATAGCTCTTTGGTGCTACATACAATCAAATTTTGCCCCAACAATTTCATTTGGACATCTTCCTATTAATTTTGTTGTTGTATGTCGAACACATGAGCCGGCCAGAGTCAATCACATAAAAAAAAATGCGTCCGGCAACATAGGGCAATGATTTCACAGCTAAGCCAGCAGAAACCCATTAATCTAATCCTGCCATACCCAATTACTATGTTTTTGGTATGTGTTGGTTCTAGGATATTTCAGCTCCGTCGTACTTCGTTTAGTAATTAGAGCTTCTCCAATTGCGTAAAAACAGAGTTTCGCGATTTTGACACGGAAAATGCCTTGGCTTAATTATTTGCTGATGGACGGCCGCTTAGGCATGTGCTCTGTAACCTGTAGCACATGAATCTAAAGTGTTCATTTCTATGCAATGTAAAATCATGTCGCCGCTGTGACAGCCGACAGATTGTTTTGGTTCTGCGGCTCTCATGGCACGGGCAACTGACTTTTACTGATTTTTTTTTTTACCATTCTGATGTGTCAGACACCGACAAGTAAGTATGGTAAGTACTAGTAAACAGTCCGGGACATAGTCAATATGGGAGTCTGAACCAGTTAGGTCCTGAAGATAGCGTCATCACACAATATTCCATTAATGAACGAAATTCACATAAGAATCTTTTGCTTACAAATAATCCGATAGTTAACAATCCCCAATATTGCCAAATCGACAGTTGTGAACTTTATTAGTTATACAGATAGAGAAAATGCATCATTCTAGCAAGGAAAAATATTGATTTCTTTTGTCCAGGTTATATAATAAATATTATAAAAATGTCTTTTTTGTTAGTGTACGTTCACGTATTAAAACATGTACACATTATATCTAATTGGTGATGGGAATTGCCAAGACAGTTTATGACATTGTGAACAAATATTTTCGTAAATAACACTGACCGCGAAATACGCCCTTGAGAAGTGTTACTGATGGAATATTTTATATTGCAATTTCGGTTGTACTGCAATGCATTATAATGTAGTACAAAAGATAGTACAAGGAGACAACTTTCGTACAGTGTGTACAGTGACTTGGTGTAACGGTCAAGTGCCGGAGCCTCGATCTCACCTTTATTCCAATAACCCGGATGTGACATTACGTCATTAATACAACGTAAATAATACATAGGAGTATCGACATATAAGTATAATATTGGTAGATACTTGGACATTACATGCATTAGTAATAATTTAAATATATATATATCTTTATTTCATTGTTGAAAATGAGTTATAAATTTGTTTCATACTATAATTTATCTATATTGGAAAATAATTTTCATGGGGATTAATTTCAATAAACAATATTTTATCCTTTGCAACAAGATCATTAATTACAGTATGTCAATAAGCAGTATAAAAAAAATACATGATGCAAAGCCCATTATAAATGGTCAAATGTTTATTGGTCTAACAGCAAGTCTCAGAAGTATTGGGGCTGCCAATTTGCAAACTCGCTAGCGAAATGGCTAACTGCTTTGGTTTTGACTGAACGGTTGGTTTTCGAATTTCGCTGGCGTCGTCCTGTAGTCACGCCCACTCTGGGCGAGCCCACGTTGCAAAATCTATTCGTTTAAATTTTGAAATCGACGCAACTTGTTCTTACAGTAAACCTGATTGGTGGGTCCAACTCCTTGGTCAGAGTTTTGCGTAAGTCCGAGGGGACCGCGGCCCCCCTATTTTTAACAACCAACAGGGCTTCGCGCCATCGGCGCCCGCGAACATGGCCTTAGGCCAACTCATTGCCCCCCCCCCCCCCATTCCAGAATCCTAGATCCGCCCCTGGAATATTACCATAATGGTCACCAACATACTGAACTACTAGTATGCAGATATTTACTCTGTAGAGAGTGATTGATGGACCCAGCTTCAAAGGCGCTTTCGAGTTGGAATAATTTAACTATGGAAGGTTTTAACTGAGGTCGCAATCACGCACGGGTTCGTCGTGAGCCTGGACATGGAAGGCCGGCTTTAGTTAAAGCGTACGCGAATCGGACGATGAGGTATGTGTACAAGAACACTTCAATGAGAATACTTACCGACTTATCGGATGTACGTCACCATTCCACCAATCCAAGTGTAGAGCACAATTGGTAGTCGCTACAACAAAGTATAACACAGACCCGACAATAACGATAACGATGAAGGTAGAAACTCTCGCTGTCTTCAACCTCATGATAAGTCCCACAACTCAAAGAAGCAAAAAAAACATCGATAAATATACCGTATAACAAACTCCAGTAAAATTGAATATGCAAACGAAACTAAAAGCGGTGGATGGGTGGGTGTGTTGGGGTCGTCACGTTAGGTCGTCAAAAGACCTCTGTTTACATGACGCCTTACCTGTGTCATATGACTTCTTGACTACAATAGCGCTCCGCCGTCTCTTTACACTAGTGGTCACATACGGAACTTGATACTTCTTTTTACAATTAAAGTTGTTTTTTAATCACATATTATAGTGAAATCATGTTAAATGAGTGAAATATTCGGTCTTTGGAACAGCAGAAACAAACACATAATAACGATAAAGCCACACTGATTTAATTTTATGCATGACATCCTCTGAAGACCCCAAAACTAATGCGAGAGGGCGAAAAAAAAAATTCTGCAAAAAAAAAAATGCTGCTAAAACAACAGG